ATGATGGTAGTAGATCGGTCGTACTACCAATAGTATTTTTGGGCAGCATGAATTTCCAATTTGAAGCTCAAGTAATTATTAACACTAACTACCTCTGCTATAAATGAATCCAATGGCGCATGGATAATACATATCCATCACATATTCGCACGTACTCCTTTCTTTTTTATCTAATTCATCAATACTTTATTTTATTTCTTCACTTTTATCTATCTAATTTAAAAATTAACGGGGACTATTTTTGTCTCAATTATAGTATTATACTACGTAGTATTACATTTAATCAATATATTAGGATTTAGAATAATCAACTGAGTATTTTTAGAATTCAATGATTGTTTTGCAATTTGCACTTTTGCATGCATTCAGAATTTAGATCCCATATATATATATATATATATATATATAGAGTGCTCTTCATATCAGGCCGGCCTGACGGGCTGCCCCGTCCGGCCGAGCCCGTTTGGGCACCTTCCCGGTGGAATTTTTTGATGAAATTTTTTGAGCATGTTCTTCATCAAGTCTAGTTTCTCCATACCAAATTTCAGCTCAAAATTCGATCGGGAAGGTCGTCAAATGATTTTTGCAAGTTAACTGGTCCGGAAAATACATATTCCGGACCAGTTAACTTGCAAAAATCATTTGACGACCTTCCCGATGGAATTTTGAGCTGAAATTTGGTATAGACAAACTAGACTTGATGAGGAACATGCTCAAAAAATTTCATCAAAAAATTCCACCGGGAAGGTGCCCAAACGGGCTCGGCCGGACGGGGCAGCCCGTCAGGCCGGCCTGACATGAACATTCCTCTATATATATATATATATATATATATATATATATATATATATATATATATATATATATATATATATATATATATATATATATATATATATATCCCTTAGCTTATTCATTTTTCATGTGTTAAATGGTTTCAGTTTGATATTAAAAAAAAAAAAAGGAGAATTCAATGTGCACTTTTTTAAAATATTTTTGATATTTCTTAATATGCGCACTTTAAAAATAATCATTAAACTGGGATGAACGAATACTAGATTTTTGCCCACAATATGTTTTCTGTTTCATTTACTCTTGCCAATGCAATATGAACGAGATGCAATCTTTAACTCTAGCGGCATTTAATGATTAAAGTTATAACCTGTTTTATCCGATCTTTAATACTCCGTAATTTTTTACTTTTTACCCTACTAAAATACAACTATACAAGTGCTTAACTTTAAGGGAAAATGGAAACTAATAATCCAACAATTTAGCGGTCTTATTACAATAATCTCACCTTTTCGTTATTCATAAATAATCTAACCTTTGTACATCATCTTCATTCACTGGTCCCTGACCGGTTGATAACATGTTTTTCCAAGTTAATTTCTTATCTTTGCAAACCATTATACCATAAATCTTACCTTTCACAAAGATAATATTTTGCAAAGACAAGAAAATAACTTGAAATAGCAGGTCATTAACCGGTCAGGGACCAATGAATGAAGATGAGGTGCAAAGGTTGGATTATTCTTGAATAACGAAAAGGTGTGACTATTGTAAGAAGACCGCTAAAAGGTTGGATTATTAGTTTACATTTTCCCTAACTTTAATTGCATTCCCTAAAAAAACTTTAAGTGCATCGATCTTACCTACACTGTTCTGCTAAGATTGTCTCATCTTTCATTTTTGCTCTGTCTCACTAATATTATCTCACATACCAAATTCGATATGTTTTGTATGATTCTAATTTATTCTCATTGTGTTCTTACTTTATCAATTCAATGACAACCACATGAATCAACTTTTCTCTATAAGTGTGTCACTCCCTCATATCTCAATGTTAGTGAGACAAAGATAGTAGTATTTATTAACGTATGAAAAAGTATATTATAAGTCCGTTTAGAAAAACTCAAATTGGTTGAATTGGTTGAATCTGGAGATAATTATCCTAGGTGTGCCTAAAACGTGCTCAGTTTCCCAATGTATGACTTTATCACTTTTTTTACCAAAATAATACCAAAATTCGTATTAATTAATATAATAATAATTCAATAAATAAACAATTTTTATGGACTAATATGTCCTTGGATTGTTATTATAAAACCCTAAGCTTGCAATACCCTAATTGTAGTCGACCTCTACTGACCCAAGAGATATTTCACCGATCTGGAAGCAACGCTCTGTCGCAAGAGCTCGGAGGAGTCATCAACGTACACCGATCTGGAAGCAACACCTTCGTCTCCTGGAGCAGACCTCGCGCAAGATGGCCGTCCCCAGGCCTACCGCCCAGCCGCACGGCCGCCAACGGAATCGACGAGCTCTACTTCAATCTGCAACCTTCACTGACCATCTAAAGTAGAAGGCTGGACCTGGGTTTTCATTGATGGGGTTGGATCTGCATCATGACTCGTTTGATTTATTATCCACTTGAAGAAGACGATGGTATCTATGGACCTGCATCTATCGTTTTTATTTCTTTATCTGAGGCTAGTTTGAGGTTTAAGGGCTTTGGGTTGTTTTTGAAAAGTCTCGTATTATTATTGGGGTAGTTTTGATAATTATAAAAGAAAATGATTTGCTACATATTCTAATGTGAATTAGTGAATTTGGATGATGAATCGTAGTTGTTGGCATATTTTTCAATTAATATGGGCATCGAACATTGGACAGTGAATATGACAATAAATAATACTACCCTCCGTTCCAAATTAGTTGCAACATACCACCATGGCACACATATTAAGAAACATTGAAAAAGTAATTGGTTTCCACTTCAGCCCTTATGCAATCATAAATAATTCTCGCAGTCTCATACGGCCGAAAAAGTACCAACAGTACAATACAACTGTACAACTACATCAGTCCACAAATTTAAGAGAGCTTTGTCCTGGTATAGATCTTGAATTTTCCATTTTTCCCTAAAGAATCCCCGGAAGAAGACGCCCTCCAATTACTCCCAAAAGCAATCAAGGCCTTCCTTTCCCCTCCCACTCCGTGTTTTCCAGCCTTTCAGTCAAACTCGATGAAGGAGAAGAATCCGAAAAAGTAAACTTGCTTAACTAAAGGCTTAATTGTATAAACAAAGAAAGGAGATGTAGATGAACTTACGACAGAAAAGAAGTGAGGGGAAACTAGATGGTGATGAATGGAAAAAAAATGGGTAGAGTACTGGAGTGAGATTGGAGTGAGATAAAAGTGAGATAAGGAGTCGGGGAGTCCATGGCTATTAAAGAGAGAGAAAATAAAAGAAATGGATGTATACGGATGAAATTTGAGAAGAGTGGTTGGTATGAACATTTGAGGGTATTAAAGACAATTGCACATGTTTTTATATCCTAAAATAGATGTGTTGCAATTATTTTGAAACTTCCCAAAAAGGAAAGTGTTGCAACTAAATAAAAACGGAGGAAGTATTGTACATGGCACTATGGCAGTGAATTGAATGCGGTGATTATGGACTCTGTAACACAGAGCAGTAATGCCACCATGAAATGAAATATACTCCGTACTTAATATAATTAGACATAAAATAATAAAAAATTTAGATCTAAAAAAATAAAAAATAAAAAGTATAAATAAATTTCTAAAATGAATGAGAAGAGAATTAATTTTGGCGGAAGTGCAATAAATATTACCGGATGTGCAGTAATGTCGTGCAGTAATATGCAGTAAAGTCATGAATTAATTGTGTGCATTAACGGCAATATAAAGTGCAGTAATTTTAATTGAACGAAATTAGTGCAAAATGCACATATTTTAAATAAGGGTATTTTCGTCATTCAACATTTAAATATAAACGAATTTTCTATTTGTTTTTGGATTTTTGGTCTTACAAAGGTATAAAAACTAGTTAGGTCATAGATTGAGAAACTTATTGAGTTTTAGTCATATCCCGATAAATTTCCCTATAATAAACTCCCAGCTATTAGATTTTTACGATAATAATATAACTCTCGTCATTCCTTAAATTTTGTCATCTTTTCTTTTTTACTGAAAACGTAGTTCACCTAGTAGGAATGATATGCTCAGGGGCGGAACCAGAACACTGGACCGGACTAGGCCGGTACAAAGAATATTTTTGGGAAAAAATTACACGGAATTTTTTACACTAAAAATATAGACAGTTTTAAAATTTGGGTTGGGCCGTGGGTAGGGTTGGCCACCCCTAGCTCCGCCCCTGGATATGCTACAAGGAAGCTAGAGGTCCCAATCAAGTTCAACTTGAAGCTACGACTTGAAATGAAATTAAATTAAACTCTATTCTCTTTCCATCATATGAGATCAAATAAAGCTCAATTTACATATGTGAGGTGTTTTCCTTTTTTTCAATCTTTTCTTTTTGAGTTAGTTATTCAAAAAAAAATTGTCACTTTTCCTTTATTAATAAATAAATTTGTGATTACTAATATACGTCGTACTTCGTATATTCATTCTTCTCTACTCAAACCTCAACCTGCACGAAATTTGTACTTTATTATTTTTCGTGCCGATCAAATTAACCTTGACAAAGTTTAGAGGGAGGGAAAGTATTATATTTGACCGTATTTATATATTGATGTAGGTATAAATGCAATTTGGTCAGGTTAAGATAGGACTTTGGATTTTCGGCCAGGTAATTTTACTACCCATCCATGGTCTGAATTAATAGCTGATCGGTTTTGGTCCCTCCGCTTCCATCCATTTACGTGACCAATTTTAATGCACCAAAGGAATTGAATTAAATTGAAGGAGCTGAGCTGAGCTGAGGTGAGCTAGAGATGGTTAAAAGCGCCCATACATTTTAACACGAGGACGCTTCTATTTTGGGAAGAAGAGGAGAGTTATAAGAAATGATGTAATTGAGCTAGCTATAATAATTAATAAATGCATGCCCAGTATATGTATATATAATTAATGAGAGGAGGAGGAGTCGGATTTGGGGCATTAATTCAATCAGAGAGCTAGAAATATAAAGGCAGTGGATGGCGCCCTTTAATGCTGCGCTTTTACTACGACGGAACTGTCCTCCTTTTAATGTTCACTTCCTAGCTTCATCCATCGATCCCCTTTAATTCCACACCCTGCCCGGCCGCAATATTCAATTTCTTCACTACTCTTTTAGTGGGCATGGAAGAATTCCCGGAACTCTCTCTCGGTCTCGGTGCCGCCGCTAATAATGATGGCGGCGGCGCTGGTTCCGACCGAGAAATGATTCGACTCCCGATGAAGAGGAAGATTCGTCAATTCTTCGGTGGCGGCGGCGGCGCGGGAAGTAGTAGTAGTAGTGTTGATCTCCACCAGCCTGCGTGGAAGGAGCCCCTCCCGCTTGATTGGGAGCAATGCCTTGACCTTCAAGTAACGTTCTCCTAACTACCTATAGTAGTAGTATTTCTGATCATAATAGAAACATTCCGTAATATTTATATAAAGCGACTTCATGTACATGCCAGTTTTGTTGTGTTATTGTTTTTTGATGAATTAGTGATGTTGTTGACTAAAATTTTGTTTATGTCAGCGGTAAATTTTTCTCAAATTAAAATTTGTCTGCAATTCTTCTTTAAACATGAAAAACATGTTTGTGACACATGAGGGGCGTTTAAAAATGGCGTACGTTTTAGCATTTTCAATAAGTGAAAATGTCATTTGAAAAGTAGTTATTCAGCCTTATTTGAGCAAATCCGGAGAGAAATGCCCAAATGAAAGCCTTGCAAATAGCAGTGTTTTGAATTAAGGTTTTGAAATAGAGAATTTCTAATTAATTGTTACGATCAAACGGCTAAATTATCAAACATTTTTTTTACAATCAACCAACTTATTTCACTAGTCAAACTTGCTAACATAATTCTGTAATTGCTAAATGTCAAACACGCCCGAAATGGTGATTCTATATAGGAACGTACACATAATAACACATAGACGTGTAAAAACAATTTTCTTATTTACATTGATTGAGTTTATCCTTAATTGTTTTTATTATTACTAGCTACATGTACAATGGACGTACTAGCTAGCTAGTAGGGTAGCTAGTAAGTTAAGCTAGAAACAAAATACGGAGTAATAAATAGTGATGAGTTATTAACTAGGGATCGAGTAGTATAGTACGTACTACTCGGCAGAGTATATTTAATTAATTAATTATCTCGTTTTCCGGCATAATAAATTTAGCACGGGGTGTGTATTAAATGGTTCATCCATTTCTCTGCACCACCGACAACCTTACTTAAGTACGGAGACTGATTTTTGATATTTCAAGCATTAAAAGTTTTGAACACAGCAACATCATTATACGAAATTAAGGCCAATTGGGTATTTCAGCCTAGCCGATTTTTTATTAAGTATTTGTAAAATGTGATGTTAGTTTGTATGTAATATATGAAATAAAACATACGAATTGAAAAACTAATTACACATGTTAATTAGAGTTATATAATAATAAACCTGTTTTCTTAAATATTCCGTATTGTTTTGCAAACAAAATTTTCCGTACAACGCTACGTACTTGTTTTGCAAACCATATTTGTTGAATATATTTTCTTCACTTTTACCCATTACGGTGATATATACTCTAATATACTCTGTACCATAATAATACGCACTCCGTACAACTTATGTCTTCGGATCGAATAGTACTCCGATGTTTTACCATTGACTTTATGTACTCCGTATGTGAATTGTGAAACAAGCTAGGAAAGTAGCAAACAATTCATAATAACTACTTGCTCTTGAAAATTATATTCATTTCTCTCTTAAAACTTTGCTAGGTTCAATTTGGCAATGAGAATAATAAAATAAAATTATATAGTTGAAATTTGTATATAGGAGAGAAAAACCATACTCCGTGAAAATAAAAAAGCAAAGATTTGTCCTATGAGGTATGTACTTTCGTGCAAAAATATGGTTTGTGACACTTCTATATTTCCAGGTTCACCTTCCTTGCTCTTTTTAATAATTTAAATTCCTTTCCATTCATATTACTTTTTCAATTACCCTCTAGATTCTTCAAATTCGGGGTAATTTGAATTTGCACCTCTAAATTGGACTTTGCAACCCGTTTTTAAGAAACTTTGTTTTTGCACCTCAATCCCATATGAAAAGACAAAAATGCCCTCAATTAGGAAATATTAAAGACTTGAAGGTCAACAGAATTGTTAATGGAGTGGTATCTTTATCTTTTCATATGGGGTTGGGGTGCAAAACAAAGATTCTTAAAAACGGGATGCAAAGTCCAATTTAGACAATAATAAATGTTACTGTTAAGATCCGGGGTTCCATCCTAAAAGGTCAACCTGATAGGAGGAGTAGCCTGGATCTTAATATAGTGTTTAATCATTCCAAAGATATCCGGTGTGGGACATTTAACACCCCTCCTCACGACCAGACACTTCGTCTGGATCGTGTCATCATTCGTTTTTTTTTTCATCGGTCCGTTTTTTTTTCATCCGGCCGTAATTGTCATTTTTTTATAATCGTGTCATCACGATTCATAAGGGGCTCCCACACCATGGATCGATTTGGCTCTGATACCATGTTAAGATCCGGGGTTCCATCCTAAAAGGTCAACCTGATAGGAGGAGTAGCCTGGATCTTAATATAGTGTTTAATCATTCCAAAGATATCCGGTGTGGGACATTTAACAGTTACATACTCAAATTACCCCTTTAAATTCCGTTTGATTAAAATTGTCAATCAAGTTGACAGCTTTTGACACGGTCAAATTAAGAAAACTAGTAAATGAATTGAAACGATCAAGAGAATTCTATATATGCAATGAGAGATTATTACCTAAATATAGGGTCTTTGCAAGTGCCGCATCGAGTTAGTGTTACTCGCCGTTTCTCAATTAATTGTCTGATCGGTTGTGGGGACCCTCGATGGAAAGTCGTCCTTTTTTATAAAGAGATAGTTTTAAGACAACCCAAAATTAAATAATTAAATTAAAACCGGGAGAAGAACATTTTGAGAGTGATCTGAGTGGTCCAGTATTTATAAATTAAGGTTCTTTTTGAAAATAAATTTGATATAATTTCTTTGTTTATATATATTCAGTCAGGGAGAATGTACTATGTGAACAGAAAAACAATGAGGAAGACATGGGAGTGGCCGCAAAAGCAGCAGCAGAAGCTCCTCCGCCCTCCTCTCGATCTCGATCTCAACATCTCCACCGGCACCCGCCATTTCCGTACAAAACAGAATCATTCGTCCCCGACACCGCCGGGGAACACCGCCGCCAACGGAGGAGGAGATAGCATGATTGCACTGCCGTGCTCAAATTGCCACCTGCTGGTCATAGTTTCTCAGGCATCCCCTTCTTGCCCTAACTGCAAGTTCCTCCAGTACTCTATTGCCGCCGGTAACCAGTCTCCGGCGGCTAAGCCGTTACACTCCGGCGGATTAAGCCTCTTCCTCTGATAATTAATTATGTTCAAGGCCATATAGGCACATATATATAAATATATACATATATATACTTAATTATGATAAATACGCCATGCATGTACGTAGTATATATCTTTAATTTAGTGTTTAATTATTTTGTTTCCATTAAATTAGTTTAAGGTAGCTAAGCTAGCTAGCTTGCCACTGGCTAGGGCTACAATGTAGCCAATTCCAAGTAGATCGACCTCTATAATGTTGTTCAGTCATATCAGCTCAATGCATCATTTTATTTATTATTGTTATTATTCCATAATATAATACGAAGTATATACGTAGTATATTGATGAATCTCCATGTGAGGTCAGCCCTATTGGAATTGCCATCCGGCCATACCGGAAGTGAATTAAGTTATTGAAAAATATTATACCATAATATATAATTGATTTCCTAATTTAATTTTAAATTGTCATTTGTTAGACATAATCAACACTTCAAACAAGGTTGACTGAACAGTAGTTTCAATCAGCTTGGCCTTACAAGAACGCCACTATATATACTTCGTAATTATTTTTCGTAATTATTTACATGTATTATATAATATGTATTATGTATATCTAATTATTTAGAGCAAACTAGTGAAATATAGGTTGAATCTAGGGGCAGAGCAAGGGCATTGGGTCATAACAAAGAATATTTGGGGGGACCTAGGTTACTATTTGATATAAAAAGTTGACCCACAAGAAATCAAACCAAAAGAGTAGGTTACCAAACAGGCTTTTCCTTTAACAAAATGACCCGGAAACAGTATTGCGTTAGTACTAAGTCAACCCAGTGTGATTCGTTATGGTCCCAGACGAGCCATTTCAGATCCAAAGTAGCCCTTATTTGTTCCAGACCGGTATTCTAGCCTTATGAATGTACTCCGTTTCATGTAAGCATTTTCTTTTGTCATTTGAGTTTGCACTCCATTTTATTGTCCAAATTGAACTTTGCACCCCGTTTTTAAAATTTTTTTGTGTTTGCACCCCAATCCCGTATGTAAAGACAAAAATACCTTTCAATCAAGAATATGTTGAAGGCCAACATCATTGTTAATGGAGGGACATTTTTGTCTTTTCAAACGGGATTGGGGTACAAAAGCAAAGATTTTAAAAAACGTAGAGCAGTCCAATTTGGACAACAAAATGGTGTGCAAACTCAAACTACCCCTTTTTTCCTCGTTGCATGAGAGTGTATCACTCCGCCTTAGCCCAGAATGGCAGCGGCATAGTAAGGAGATTAGTAGCGGCATTGTTGGGGTTTGTGGAGGAACACAAATGCCTGATATTGAGGGCAGGCAGCCTACTCGAAGGCTTTCTGCAGAGGTTTATTTTCATCAAAAACAAGGGAAGGGGGCAATTGCCACTCGATAGGATTCGCTGGATGAGGATGAAGAAGGCTCAATTCATGCCTTCATGGTGGTAGAGGAAGGGTTGAGGGCGCCAACGGTAGGGTGGAGGGATTTGGATTTAAAAAAAATGGAAGGGGCAGGTGACGGGTGGGCTATGTGCTCTAGGCCCGCCTTATTGTCAAGACATTGTTTTGCATGTTCTTATTATTTTAATTTTATTTTTTTATCATAAAAAATGTGTTATATACTTGCATTATAAAATCAGAGACTATTCATTGTAAGAAATTAGTTCAGAACGGATTCCAATGGATTCTAAATACTATTTTCGGTGTAAATCATAAAACGAGTTGCCTGTGCAAGTTTTTTATAACCTATCTAAATCCCAAATCACCAAATGGAGACCAGATGGTCCAGAATCCAGAATTCCAGATCCACCCTCGTACGTTGCTAATCTGTGATGTTTTACAAATTTTGTATACCACTATACCATAATTATAAATAAATAAATAAATAAATAAATAAATAAATAAATAAATAAATAAATAAATAAATAATTATACTCCCACTGATAACGTTTGAATGCGCCCATTTATACTTGCTTTTTTTAATAACATTTTTACTTACTTTTAAAAAGCTACAATTCCAGATATAAATTATGCTCGCATCTTTTATATTTGGATGAATGAAGTGCTATATTAACACATGGGCTACTCCTCCTAACAGGTTGACCTTTTAGGATGGAACCCCGGGTCTTAACATGGTATCAGAGCCAAATCGATCCATGGTGTGGAGCCCCTTATGAATCGTGATGACACGATTATAAAAAAATGACAATTACGGCCGGATGAAAAAAAACGGACTGATGAAAAAAAAATGAATGATTGCACGATCCAGACGAAGTGTCTGGTCGTGAGGAGGGATGTTAAATGTCCCACACCGGAAAGATTTGGATGAATGAAGTGCTATATTAACACATGGGCTACTCCTCCTAACAGGTTGACCTTTTAGGATGGAACCCCGGGTCTTAACATTATATTCTTAAAAAACGTGTGTAGTCCAATAATCCAAGATTTTCTTACATTTTGGTACACAATTAGTGCAACTTTTATTGTAATTTAGAATGTACAAATTACTATATAACAACAGTATGACCAAAAACTGAAGTTAACTTTTCCTTGATAATATTTTAGTCATTATTAACAATAAAAATTTGCTATCTGAAGTCATAATAAGTTGAAAGGCCTAAAATTGAAATAACAAATATGATGAATAATACTCCTTGTGTCCCTAAACAATCCACATTTTTTGTCTGATTCATCTCAAAATTATCCACTAATTCATTTTTTAATAAAAGTAATACATTGTTCATATTTTTCATTTTTCTCTGAATAAACTTAAATCACCAATTATTATTATTATTTTAAAGGCGTTTCCAACACACCCAAAGGACCAATAATTTCATAGCATGCAACATGTTAGTCCATGTGGAAGTAAATGATTGGTTCTACATATTAACTATTGTAACACATGGTAATTCCTTATATTAACTTGAGAGTAGCGATCCTGTCAGGCCGGCCTGACAGGACTCACAGGACTCACTGTTCGGCCGAGGCCATCAGAGCCCTTCTCGGTGGAACTTTTTAAAGAAATTTTTTGGGTATGTTCTTCATCAAGTTTAGTTTATCCATACCAAATATCAGCTAAATATTCAATCAGGAAGGCAGTCAAATAAATTGTTGACGAAAACTACATTGTTTATGTATATATAAAGCATAGGTTTTGTAAATAATTTATTTGACTACCTTCACGATTGAATTTTTAGCTGAAATTTGGAATGGATAAACTAGACTTGATGAGGAACATGCTCAAAAAAAATCACCAGGAAGGGCCTCTGATGGCTTCGACCTGACGGCGGTTCTGTCAGGCCGGCCTGATATGATCGGTCCTCTTAACTTGATGTACTTATTTAACACATATGCTTAATATGTTAACCTTATCACTGTACACAGATGTTACATGCTCATTAAAATTATTGCCCAAAAACTGCTATACACCTAATTTAGTTTGACATGGACAATATATACCTATATACTGCTCGGATGAAATATTAATGACGCATATTGTATGGAGAAATACATTACTTATTCAATGATGACTGATCCAAGCTAGTATATACTATACTGCAGCTTGGCTTACCTTGCATACCTCGACATTGAGCCCACAGTCGGTCAAGAACAATAACCAAGCACGCTGTTGTTCAGAAAGTCGGTCTCTTGGGCCTTTTACTTCAACAAGTTTGGCTTGGCCTCTGTAATTGTCGTGGAAGCGCCACAATAACAAGTCAGGCATTCCACTAGACCAACTCCGGTAATCTTGAGCCAAATGTCGGCATATTGAAGCAATGCAAGAGCCTCCAATGCATGCCACTGCTGCTCTGAGTTCTGAAAGAGAATGCCTGTCCCAGTTTACCCCCCTGCATGATGTCCCTTTATGTAATTCCCATGAAGTGATAAGTATCTCCTCTGCCATTCCGTCCTGTATCTTATCAAGGACTGCTTCTATCTGATCCTTTCTAACCTCGTAGAAGCTGTCCGCCTCCAAATCCAAAGGTGCTGTCTGAGAAAGATGTATTAGATAGAGTATATCTTTTTAATTTATTCCAACACGAAAAGTCAATAACCAGAAAAATATACGAAACTTGACCAAATATGTGAGAAATACAATTGGGTTTAAAACAGCTATATAAAGCAAAGCAAGTACGAACCCGAACTAATTTTGCACTCGTTTGGTTCTTTATTTATTTGGATTATTAGCCAAATTTGGTACCAAACACTACAAATTATAAATCTAATATAGTCTTCCTCCGCGCACAATTAGTTTCTTCTATACGGTTTTAACAGAATCTTAGGATGTTTTTACTTGGACTGTAATTTGCTGGTCTGGTCTGGTCTGGTTTCTTTGTATTTTTATAACTACCCAAGTCTGGTCTGGTCTGGGACAAATTACAGTCCAAGTAAAAACATCCTTAGAGTGAGGTTCTACCTTTGTAGGGGTGGGTAGAAAATATAGGAGATAAGAAGAAAAGGCAGGAAAATTTTAGTAATTCATCTGGTTTTTACACATAATAGGCAATTAATTACTAAGAAGGGATTATAGAATACCTGAAACTTGGTGCAAAAGGCATTTGGAATATCAGCAAATATTGAATCCCACATCAAGAGCCCGAAGAGGGTTAACCAAATGCCACTTTCAGTATGAACACCCTGCCAACCACCACCTTCTCCTGCATAGTATTGGAGAGCAAGTTGTTCCACCCCACACCGTTCACCATCTTCACCATAAAATACACTCTTCACCCCCATCTTGCAGTTCAGAGGTCTTCCTTGAACATGAACCTGGAATCATCATCACTTCAATATATATTATTTACATATAATAACCCAAAATTGAATGTCAATGCGCACAAAATAATGCAATGTGCTTGGATTTACCTCTGGAATTTTCCGTTTAAGAGACTTGGAATAGCTTGGTGTTTTCCACCGTCGAGGGGGCTTACCCAGCCGAAGGACGCGTTGCTGCAGGGACAGTTTTGAGCCAGCACGAATCCACGGATCCAATAACCCATCTTCAGCAACTTGAAGGCTCTCATCAGGACACCCGACATGCTCCAGATCAATTGAAAGTCTCAGAGCCCAATATCCCCTTCTTCTGTCATTTTTGAAAGTGTGTAGCAGTTTCCTGAGCAATATGATTGCATCGTTGTACCTTGCCAAGTAAAGTAAGACACAATTAGCAACAATTATTGTTACAGTATTTTTATTAAATGTATTTCTAGTAAAAGCCCTCATCTTTTTTCTTCTTGTTTTTTATTCTTTTATCCTTATATATATAAACATTATTTTTATCCTTTTTATTT